GATTAACTATCACCTGCTTGGGACAGGGGATCCATGTGAGACGAGATATGTGCTTGGAAAATTATCTTAGAAACAATGAAGGCTGGTCCCTATGGAGATGCAGCAGAAATAGCCTCTGATGAGAAAGACCGCCTACAACCAAAGGCAACTGAGGAAATTCTGACCAATAATAAATCTCCAGTGAAGAAGGATAAAAAACTTGCCCCATCATTATCAAATCCTGACGGCAGGGGAAGCATGCCGAAGAGTCAAAAATTGGTTGAGAGCAACCAGAATCCTTCCGGGCTACATACTGCTACAAAGAACCAGAAAGCGGTTGCTGATGAGAAAGACAGCCTACTAAAGGCAATGGAGGAAATTTTGACCAATAATAAAACTCCAATTAAGGAAAAAAAACGTGCCCCATCATTATCAAGTCCTGGCAGCAAGGGAAGCATGCTGAAGAAGCAAAAATTGGATGAGCTACATACTGCTATAAAGAACTGGAAAGCAGTTGCAAAAGATGAACTCAACATATCGGAGAAGGAAATAGGTCATTTACAGGGTCAGAAAAAGACAGTGGTAAAGGAATCGAAAAGCAAGAAGGATAAGGCAAAGAAATCTAAGCAGCATTCGAAGTTAGTAACAGAGAATCTGAAACCCTATATTCAACCAGATGCAGCGAAGGGAAAAACAGAACAGAAAGGAACAACAGGAAAGGAGAGAAGCGGTGTAAGTTCACTTTCTAGTCTCTTCAGGAGACCACTTTGATTATGATGCATTTGCATGCTACAATTTATTCAGGAGACCAATGTTGTGTTAACAGGACGAATAGAGAACTGAGAGGAGAGGTATTAGATGAAACATTTTCCTATTTGTATGTCATTAAATAGGATTGCATTAACAAAATTTTGACAGTTTAGCGGGTTGATGTGCTTATATTAATTTAAGCATTATTTGTATTAGTAATTTTGTATTACATTTTGTTGTGCCCGTCCCTCGTGATTGCTCAATTCATAGCTTGTGTGAAATTTTTTACTTGTGAAGCATAGCACAAAAATGAAAATTTGACCGATTGTGATCACAATAATAGAATTAAGGTCAAATATGCAAATGGTTATTATGTAAAACGATCATTGAATCTATTAGATTATTATAAAATGATTATTAGATGTTTTAAATACGATTGTGTAGTTGCATCAAATTACACTCAATTATACAATGATTTTTCTAATGTTTTAAATCATTTTTCATATAATTACATTGTGATGTTTACAAATATTTTAACTGCAAAATTGGAGGATGTACGTAATATAGTTAACATCAAATAAGTTCTTATCTTTTTCTCCAATAATTGAAATGTAATATTGATATTTAATTATATTTAATTTAACGAAATTTATAATTATATTAAAATCAAGAGTTTAAATTGAATTTTTACTCTTTAAAGTTAAACATGTACTTTTTTCCAACTATAATTAAACTAAACTATATTTTGAAAAATAAAAATAATATTTATTTCTTGCATCCCACGGATTAGAATTAGATTAGTGTACCAGTACCTTTCCATTTCAGTTTATATTATTATGATAAGCAAAATACGAAGAAAAAAGGAAGATACAACTACCCAAAAGAAACCTAAACTCAAGTCATTCCAAAACGGCACCGTTGTGTTTGTCCACTTCTCACCTACCCTCCCGGAGAAAGCAAATCAGCAACAGCCGCAGGAAGTATCATGGGTCTATTTACTTTTCCCTTCACTTGGAGGTGTAGCCAAAATATCATTCAAAAGAACACTTTTTCTATAAATACTCTCCACTTGCTTTCAGATCTTTTCCACTAGATTGTTAACCTCCCTCAAACTTTACTCTGAAAATCTACGTCCATGGCGGCAACACCCTTAACAACCCCACACACAACTCTCCTTCAAAAAACCCACCAAAGCCATGCCTTTCTCAAACCCAACGCCGCCTTCCATTACCGAGCCTCACGCAAGCCCTTCTCTGTTTCGTGTTCATCGACCATCCAAGATCGCCCCTCCCTCCAATCCCAGTCTCAAGATCGGGTCTTTAACTTCGCCGCGGGTCCCGCCACCTTGCCCGAGAATGTCCTCCTCAAGGCCCAGGCTGACCTCTACAACTGGCGCGGATCTGGCATGAGCGTCATGGAAATGAGCCACCGCGGGAAAGATTTCCGTTCCATTATTGAGAAAGCCGAGGCCGATCTACGTGCCCTTCTCAACATCTCCAAAGACTACGCCGTTTTGTTCCTCCAAGGCGGGGCGACCACTCAGTTCGCTTCTGTCCCTTTGAATCTCTGTCAGCCTGATGACATCGTTGATTATCTTGTTACCGGTTCGTGGGGAGATAAGGCTTTCAAAGAAGCTAAGAAATACTGCAAGCCCAAAGTCGTTTGGAATGGGAAATCGGAGAATTACGTGAGGGTTCCCGCGTTTGATGGTTTGGAACTAAGCCCGGATGCCAAGTATTTGCATATATGCGCAAATGAGACTATTTATGGAGTTGAGTTCAAGGACTATCCGGTTCCCGGCAATCCATATGGGGTTCTTGTAGCTGATATGTCTTCCAATTTTTGTTCCAAGCCTGTTGATGTAACCAAGTTTGGGTTGATTTATGCCGGTGCGCAGAAGAATGTTGGGCCATCAGGGGTTTGCATCGTGATCGTGAGGAAAGATCTTATAGGAAATGCACAAGAGATTGCCTCAGTGATGCTTGATTACAAGATCCACGCTGACAACAACTCTTTGTATAATACGCCTCCTTGTTTCGGGATCTATATGTGCGGGCTGGTGTTTGAAGATCTTTTGGAACAGGGAGGACTGAAGGAGGTTGAGAAGAAGAATGAAAAGAAAGCTGGTATTTTGTACAATGCCATTGATGACAGCAAAGGTTTCTACAGGTGTCCTGTCGAGAAATCCGTGAGGTCCCTGATGAATGTTCCGTTTACATTGGAGAAGCCGGAGTTGGAGGCCGAGTTTCTGAAGGAAGCCGAGAAGGAGAAGATGGTGCAGCTTAAGGGACATAGGTCGGTCGGTGGCATGCGAGCTTCCATTTACAATGCTATGCCTTTGGCTGGAGTTGAGAAGTTGGTTTCTTTCATGAAGGATTTCCAGGCAATGCATGCTTGATTCATGTCTCTTTCTATACAAGTGCTATTGTTCTCTTATGTTTGTGTTCACTCTTTATGTTTTTGCTTTGGTTTCAAGTACTATTGATGATAAATTGCTAGCTTTCATGTGTTTTTGTATGGGAAAATACTGAAAGTTCCCAAGCAGGGAAAGTTTGGCAAGATTTTTGTAATAGGTTGGAGACATGGGTTTGCTTGTTTCATTTCCCATTCAGATTCTTAGGTTCACAATATTAAATATTTATAATAAATCTCTTGAATTTTGATGTTTATGTTTTCCATTATCAATTGCACAACACATTTGAATTTTGGTATATGTGTAGAATTTTACATTCCCTCAACCAAAACCGAGTTTTTTTTAGTCCTCAACGCAATGAATCAGGAAGAAACTCCTGCTTAGGGCATTAGATGCAAATAGGAGCAACCTCAGAGGAAAATTTGGTGAGATTCAACAAACGGCCTATGTTGCATAACTAGGATTGCATCTGCAGCATGTTAAGTTTCGTTTTCTCTATTCATCTGAAAAATTCTATATATAGGCTTATTGCACTTGAGCATCTCTGGTTGCAGAAACCAAGGTTCATATGCACATATATAAGAACATCTTGTTGTGATATATATGTTACATGCAGTAGGTAGGAAGACTTGCCTAATATCGTGGTATATGCTATAGCAATTATAAGGAAAGTATATTAAGCATCAGACGGTGAATTGAAATCACCTCTTCAGAACTAAACTGAAGAAGCATAATTGTAACAGGAAGTAAATCTCCCACTTTACGTATTTGAAGAACCAGCAATGGTTCCAAAACATCATATGCATCGCATTTGAAGAAGTGTATAAAGCAATTAAATTCAATTAAGTCCTGCCTGTGTGATTGCGAATTTTTGTACCTGTTTCTGGAAGAGCTACTAATTACTGTCTCATTAACTTAACTAAGCCTGCCTCAAGGTCGGTTCTTTCCTGAAAAATAACATTCTTAGTTCCCATGCCAACATGAAGCCTTCCTTGCATTATTTTTCTAGATATTAACATTAAACTTTAACATGAAGAGAATTATGCGTTTAAACACTTAATGATGGAATATCTGAAGTATACAAGGGTGACAAATATGATTCTCTTCATTTGTCTGTTCATCGAATTGGCCCGATTGTGTTTGTGGAAAACTCTCCTTATAGTTTGTGCAACTGCAACATAGGAGCAAACTTATCATTTTAAATTTGAATTATTGTGTTCAACTTATTTTGTGTAATCCATTTTCCTTCATTTGCAGAACCATAAAAATTATAAAAATATTAACTCTATAATTGATATTTTGTAATTAATAGATCTTAATGATGTAAACAATTTGGGCTTATTTCATTCTTTTTATTGGTATATGGACCAAATTGACCCATTCAATGGTAGTTGGATTAATAAGAATCAATCTCTATGATAAAATAATAAAGGAATTAATTGGAAACAAGCTTTACCAAAAAAACTAAATTGATTAATTTAATAATAGATGGGCTAAATTAATACAGTCCCTATAATAGAAGGACCTGACAGAAACTTCAGCAATAGCAAACGAAGGCAGGGACTTGAAACGAAAAGAACATAAATAGGAAACTTCCTTGACCGTGTTCGTTTCCATCCTCATTAATTCCCTTGTTTCAATCTCTGTCTGCTACGAACTTTCCTAAAAATCTATCTTCTCTCGATCTAAACAGGAATCTTCTTATTAGCATATATATCTTCACAATTTCTTCTCAATTAATGGGGATTTAAATACGTGTTGAAATTAATTAAAATGCATGGAGAGAGAGACATTAACAAGATGAAAACATGATTAAAACACTGCCTCCCCTTCACAATCTGTCCCTCCATTTTTTTCCTCTCTGTTTAGAACTAACCCGCTGCTCAAAGGGTGCACAATACTACGTATTTACAGGTCAATCTCAAAGGAAAATCAAGAGCAAAATGAAGAAAAGTTTTTACAGCTGTAGTAGAAGTATGTAAAAAGGATTTATATTGATATGATCCATGAGATGCACCTCATGGAGTAGATGGAGACAGAAGGAGAAACGGAATCAAGGGCGGGTGCACCGTGAACCCTTGGATGATCACTCTCCAATCCATAGTCCATCGGACGGTACCCCAAATCTTCATCATGATCATACACGAATTCTGGGATCTCTATCTCCTTCCTCTTCACGTGCTCCCATAGATAATCCACCCTATTCACGTACCTCAATTTCCCGTACAACCTGCCATAGATAAAATCCATTATATGCCAGAAAAAGATGGAATGAAACGGTTTGGTTTGGTTTACCCTCCGGTGAAGAGAAAGCGACCAAAGGTGGCAAGGAAGAGCCGAGCCTGGAGGCCAGGGTGCACAAAGTAGACGGCTTGGAGATTATCCTTGACGTCGACGGGGATGGCCTCGTAGATTGATTTGAGGGCTGAGATTCCGGGGAAGTTCTCGCTCCGTTGAACGCCGGTGTGCACATAAAAACTCTTAGTTGACACCTACCCTATCTCTTAGGTTGCAAATTCGGTACCTACTAAGGGTAAAATTCTTCTTCTGTCTCTCCTAGATAGGAATTGTTTGAAGAAAAAAAAATTTACTCCATCTTTTCTTGTTTTCTTTGTTATCTATATTACTATATATACGTAACTATAAAATTATGTAATTTAATATTTGTTTGTTGTCTTGTAGAATTATTCGACCGCTGTTGGATTAAGAAACAAATTATTTCTTTTCTTTTATGACTTGTTGAAATATCAAAGGCTACAAGAGCTGCAGTTAAGACAACAGTGAATTCCATGAAAGATCTTGGTGCATAAGACAAACCATTTTTAAATATACTTGATACTAAGAAGATGGAGTAAAAGATTTAGAATCAAGAGAGAAAGTATGTGATTCACTTTGTTAAACCGTCGTCATTGTCGTTGTTGTTATTGTAATAAAAAGATATATATCTAATAAAAGAAGATCTTGAAATGATGATGGATTGTTCGATCTTATTAAAAAAATATGTAAATTTTGTCTTACATATTAATAAGATGTGTAAGAGATTAAGAACATTACTGCTTTCTTTCAGAAAATATTAAAGAGAAATGGTTGAAAAATACTAATTTTTACAAAGATTATGAAAATAAGAAATCTTTCCAAGTATGAAATGCTTCTTGCATGAGAAAATATTAGCAGAGATGGACACAAGGTGGATTAATTCTTTATATTCTTTGTTAAAGGAATTCAAAAGGAATTATGTATTAAGCAATTACCAAAATATAATTTCTATCAATTATCTTCTCACTTTGATCTTTTATTCCTTTTATGGATGTGTATATTATGTGTCTATTTATAAAATATAAAATTTATATATTAATAATAAATGTTATTTAAATAATATATCAAAATAATTTTATAATTTTTTATACATTTTTTATTTAATAATTAAAATTTAGTTTATTAAAAATAAAGTATATCATAAAGATTAATACATTTTATTTTTAAATAATTTTATATTCTTAATCAAACACTTTCGGATAATTTTTAAAATTTTGGTTAAATTAATTTTTGGTTTTTCAACTGAATTTACGGGTTTCACACCCTAAATAAGTAGGGAACAAAATATCCTAAAATTAATAAAAATGTAAAAAAAAATAGTATTAGTTTTAAGAGTTTATTTATTTAAGGTCGTCTTATAACAAATTTAAAATATATTTGATTTAGATTATTTTTTTATTTTAATCCATTTTGATTTGAAACAAATGAGTTGTATATAAAAAATTGAAATTATAGAATTAAATAGTTAAATAAAGTTAAAATTAAATTGCAAAATAAAAAAATCTCGAACTGATATATTTACGGGTCACGTTATTTGGGGTGGCTTTTGAGCCAATGAGATAGAAGAATGGGTGTTGGAGTTCGGGCAAATGGGTTTAAAGTTTGAACGATATTTTGTTGATATTCCCACGTGTAGGAAATCTCGGCCAGACATAGAGAAGTGTGCAGCAGATAACATGAACACCCCACCTTCCGACGGTTTCAAAACTTATCCATGCAATTACAGACGTCGGTCTATGTCACCACCCCCTTTCGATTCCTTTGTTTTTATCCAAAGCCATTTCAACTGATTACTCAACTGATTACTCAACCGTCAAAAACTTTCGTGTCGTTGATTCTCCTCTCTTTTTTCACCTCAAAATCTTCATCAATCACCAACCAATCTACCCTTTAAAAAGTTGGAACCAGGAACATCACCCCATCCATTGCCAAATTTCCCTACTAAACCAACCAACCATGGAAGCCAAATCGTTTCTTTCTTCTTCTTCTTCTTCTCCCTTCACGCTCTCTTCCCTTCCTTCTCCTCTTTTGCCTCAACATCTCCACTACAAGGGCCTGTTCTCAGTTCCTGTAAATCCGCAGACATGTCGAATAGCCGTTGTCCACGAGAAGTTCAGCTTCTGGTACGGATGCCCTAAGAAACTAAACTAATCTCTTTTTGGTTTTTCTTTAGCGTTTTGGAGACTACTTGAGTATTGTTGTATGTTTATGTATGTGAAGCACAAAGGCAAATCTTAGAGGAAATGTGCAGGTGACTGGAGTTCCGACTTCTGTTCCGGTGAGAGTAGCACACGAGCTTTATCAAGCTGGGCATCGATATTTGGATGTTAGGTAAAAAAAAATTTCAGTTTAAATTGAATCTTAAAAGCTCCGATTATTGTAAAGCAAGGGCTTCAATTTCTTTTTATTTTTTATTTTGTAGGACTCCTGAAGAGTTCAGTGCAGGGCATGTTCCTGGGGCCATTAACATTCCTTACATGTACAAACTTGGATCAGGTTAGTTCCAAATTTATCTTCTTTTAGAGCTAATTTGTGTCTCAAGTTATCTTCATTTTTAGCTAAATGAAGACAACGACCGATGTCTGGTCTGGTGTCTTGACTCGTGTATTACTTTACGTTTACTCCGATGTTGATTTGATGGGTAGGGGTACTTGCTTAATGCGTTTGCAAATTGCAAGCATGGTTTGATGATTTTTTCTTTGCCTTGCAACTGAGTTTTAGCTAGTTTTCTAAAAAAACGTGTTTTTGCTTGCAGGAATGGCAAAGAACCACAGTTTTCTGGCAGAAGTATCAGCACACTTTGGACAATATGATGAGATTATAGTTGTGGGTTTTTGTTTCCAATGGAACTCAGAACCTTTTCTTTCAGAACATGTCCATTTTAATGACAAAATTGCTTGGTTTTGCAGGGGTGCCAACTTGGGAAGCGGTCTCTAATGGCTGCCACTGATCTTCAAGCTGCTGTAAGCACATAGATATTTCTGAATTGGTTCTAAATCAGCCATTATTTCTGTATATTGAACTCGAAAACAAGCATATTGGTTTGGTTGGATTTTCAATCTTTGCACATAAGCTAATCTTTGAGCTACCCAAGAACTTTGTTCATATAGGCTATCCTTTTGAACTAACAAGTTAGTTCTAGTACTTTTGCTAGGTTAATCTACATGTTGAAGATGGATAGAAGCTAATCACAACTTCTACCATTGATTCTTTTTTCAGGGCTTTACTGCTGTCACTGACATTGCGGGAGGGTATGCCGCGTGGACTCAGAACGGGCTTCCGACGGAATGATGATGTTGTAGCCACAGAATAAGGTGCTGATACAATAATAAACTAAGAAGATCAAGTGATGCAAAGATCTAACTTATTAGTGTTGTAGCCACAAGATGCTCTTGTTGCTGTGTGGAGAAGGAAACAGAAACAAACAAACAATGAATGAATGGTACTAGTCTAGTTTGTACATAAAAAATCTCTTCTTTGCTCTTGATTGACATATCACTTCTTGTCCTGGCTTGCCCCTTATGGACTGATGCAATAAACCAGAACTAGTAAGTTCTGGTTTTGATATTTGCCATTAACCACATCAGCAGCCCAATGCAAAAGGTGATAAGAGTCAATATAGTACTATAAACTTCTTGTAAAAATAAATATTAAACCTATGGCAACAAGATATAGCTAGCTAGCTTACACACGTTACAATACCATCAGCTCATCGACAAGAACATGGATGGAAAAAAGATTTTAGACTAGGAAGTTCGTTTAAGAGACGAAAATAGAAGAAAATACAAAGAATACATCTAATTATATGAAAATTAAAAATTTTCAAGGGACGATTGTCTTAAAGCTGTGAAGCTAGAATTCAGGCTTTAAAGCTGTGAAGCGTCAGAGATATGAAAGAGTACATAAGATATTGGCACGGCTCAATCAGACCAAAACCATTGATGCTTTCGACTCTTGAAAGATCAACAAATGCCTTTTGTTTCATGTCTGAGTGAAGCAGGCCGATATCACAGTTACTATTCCATGCAACTTCAGGGCACGACAGCAAGCCTTGGGGGAAGCTTGCCCCAACAAGATCCCTAAACAATAAGGAACGAATCAGAGAAGAGAAAAGTGTAGAATATCGGGAAGAAAATATGGGTTTTAAAGAAGAGAGCAAATGAAAGAGAGAGAAAGTAAAGAAGTTTGATGGGGGGACTAAAGAGGGTCAGCTAGAGCATTTAAAACATCCATGATTCTCTCTTCCTTTTTCTCTGCCTTCAAAACTTACACACAGTCAAACATAACGTTTATCATTCATCGGTAGCTAGTAGCATCGATATGATCATATGAACATACGGCTGTGCATCTAATATAGATCAAGAAAAAGCTTGTCCTTTAAGGTGATCACATGGGCGGTGGGTGACGCAATAATGCAGAGACGTTGAGACTTGAGAGTTAGCCCATGCCATGATCGTGATATTATCTTTGTGCATCATTAATGAAGGAATCTCTATCTGGGACGAACAGACAGCAACATTAATAGGCAAGGCAAGGAAACGCATTATTTTTAGTAACTGGAACCGTCGTTTCAATCCAGTTTGGTTGTAGTTGCTTTGCTTGGAGTTGAAGGGTAATTACTAATTACGCTACAAGTACCAGCAAGAGATTACATTTTGCATTTTATCCCCTTTTCTTATTATATATATGGTTAATTCCACAACCATCACCGGCCTATAGTTCAGATTTTAAATTTTTTCCTAAAAGTTCAAAATGTTTTAATTGATTCATCATAGTATCAACATTGTATCAATCAAGTCTTTCAATCATCCTACTGAATTCAACTTGAATGTTAAATGCCAACTTAAATCCAAGCTGGAGCATTTTCTTCTTTCTAATTCGTCATATCTAAGTTGTTCATGTGATAGGAACAAACTTGTTTAAAATTCAACCCACTTGTTTTATATAAGTTTTAGGATAGATTAAGCTAGTGTTAGAAAGACATGATTGGTACAACATTAGTATTTTGAAGATTCAAATAGAATATTTTGAAGTTTAACGACTAATTTAGAATATGGTTTATAATTTGAGGATGCCTTGCAGAAATAGCCCTTTATATATTCAATTTACTTTACATGGCAACTAAAACAGAAACGTGGTTACGATATTGTCTGCTTAATTACACGTATAGATATTTATATACATGTATGTATGCATAAGCACAGAGAAAGAAATTGTTTTCAATTTCGTCCGCTGTGGCAGATGGTAGTTGCACTTGTAGACACTCATTTTTGTGGTTATGACAGTTCTTATATTGGTTCTATCAAAGATCAAACAATGTCTTCTTCTAGTTTACGTGAACGACCTTTCATCACATCAGCATGCGAGTATATTTATCTTCTTTAAGCGGCGAAAATAAACGTGTTTTCACCCCTAAATCCAAAGTAATTATTTCACTAATGAATATTCATCGCCAGCTAATAAAGGCAACGAAGAATTTTAGTGTATAACATAATGTATATTAATGGCGGGGGATTATACCAATGTTCCACCATAAACAAAACTCCGAAAATTGCTGCCTTTTATACTCAAAGCATCTCCAAGCAAGTCCAAATTTTCCAAGCTAACAAAATCCCATCTTTCTTCATGAACTTTCAGGTCTACCCGTCATCGTCTCCTCTCCCGGTAGGGCTAAATCTCAATGAAGGATCACCAGAATGGCTCAGCAAAGGAGACAATGCATGGCAACTAACGGCGACGTACTTTGTAAGCCTGCAAAGCGTTCCGGGGCTCGTGATACTGTACGGGAGCATGGTAAAGAAGAAATGGGCTGTTAACTCGGCTTTCATGGCTCTTTACGCCTTTGCCGCCGCTCTGCTTTGCTGGGTTTCATGGGCACACCAGATGTCTTTCGGGAACTACGATAGCTATCTGGTGGGGAAGCCTGTTAATTCATTGTCTAATGTGTTCCTTCTTAGTCAAATGGATGATGGTCATAAGCTTCCAAAGGCTGATTATGTGTTCTACGAATTCGCCTTTGCCGCGATTACTGTGATTTTGCTCGCCGGATCTTTGCTTGGGAGGATGAACTTCTATGCCTGGATGTTGTTCGTTCCTTTGTGGCTGACGTTTTCGTACACCGTGGGGGCATTCACTATATGGGGCAATGGGTTTTTTCAATACAAAATTATTGATTACGCCGGTGGTTATGTCATCCATCTTTCATCTGGGGTTGCTGGTTTTACTGCTGCGTATTGGGTAACTCACATACTCTCTCGTCTAACTCTTTTGGTCAAATTCTCTAGAAGGTCCCTGTATTATATGTTTTTATGGATTTAGTCTCTGCTATAATTTTGATCCTCTTGTAATGTGGTTGATTGAGCTGATGACTGCAGGTTGGACCTAGACATTCGCATGACAGACAACACTTTCCACCAAACAATATCATTCAGATTTTAGGAGGTGCAGGATTTCTATGGCTCGGATGGACTGGCTTCAATGGAGGATCTCCACTTTCAGCAGGCCTCGTCACTTCTTTAGCCGTAATAAACACCCATATCTGCACTGCCACCAGCCTATTGATCTGGCTTGCTTTAGACATGGCTGTGTACAGGAAAAGCTCGGTCATCGGTGCCGTCCAGGGGATGATTACAGGTCTCGTGTGCATCACTCCCGGTGCAGGTCTTGTGGATCCATGGGCAGCAGCCCTAATGGGAGTGATGTCTGGATCGATTCCATGGTACACAATGATGGTCTTGCACAGGAAAATAGCATTCTTCCAAAGCGTGGATGATACATTAGGGGTCTTCCATACGCATGCTGTGGCCGGTGTTTTAGGCGGTCTCCTTTCTGGTCTCTTAGCAAAACCCAGGCTTCTGAAACTGATGTACTGTAGCAACATATATGGCCCGGACTTACCACACTGTAAGGGACAGTTCCACCGTGGTCTCAGACAACAAATGGGTTATCAACTTCTAGGAGCCGGTTTTAATCACAGCATGGAATGCTGTTGTTACCAGCATCATTTGCCTTGTCATAAGCCGCATTGTTAATTTAAGAATGGACGAAGAGGCTCTCGAGGTAGGAGATGATGCTGTGCATGGAGAGGAGGCTTACGCCCTGTGGGGAGATGGTGAAAGGATGCCAAAACCTCGCCGTTTCCGTATACCGCTTATCTGCCGCCTTCTGGTTTCGACTAATGTTTGATAAATTTCAGATCAATTCTGGCGTGTATATATCCCATAATCATTGTGCTTATATCAAACTACTGGTAATTTATTTCGAATTCAAACTATTATTACTTCAAAATCAAGAAATACAGTTATGGCGACACGATTTTACAAGGTCCGGTCGTCCAATGTCATGCCACTGTTGTTCCATCTCTGCCTATTGTGCACATTTTATGATCACAACGTCGGGTGTTGGGGGAAAGAATATTCTCAATTATGTAGTAAGAACATCGGGAAGCTGAATCGAGTGTGCTCCAAGTATTTTACCACCAACATCTGGGAAATTTTCATGTCCGGGGAGCGGGTTTACTTTTCCATCGATATCTACTTGCACAGGATACATCAGAAGGTGACCCTGCAATGGTGAGTACTCAGCATTTGTGAATTTCTTCCAGTTCTCTTCTGCAACCCCATTCACCATCTTCACGCAATCTAGACTTTCTGGCTCCTTGAACGGCTTATTTACCTCACCAAGATGCTCTGCCCATAACGACATTCTATATCCATGTACCTGCCAAACTCCAGAGAGGCATCACTAAGTAGAAACTAGAAAGTACACTAAAAGATTCAGATTCTCATCAATAGCTTCCTGGCAATGCAGTCTCGAGGCAGTATTCAATGCCTTATTCTTATTACCAGTTACCATCACTGAACAGCAGCAAAATTATTGATCTAAAAGTCCATAGTTCGCTAGGAAGAAACAATAAGAAGAAAGATATACAAACCTGACCCCGAGGATATTTTTTCTTAGCCCATGTACAATGTGGTTGATAGGCTCCCATAGCAATCTCTGTGTCTTTTGTACCAGCCATAGATCTTTGGTTAATATTAGCTGATCCCACTATTACATACTCATCATCTACTATCATTCCCTTTGCATGCACGTAAATCATGAACCGACCAAATTTTGCAGAGTCAGAGACCTAAGCAAAATATAAAATATATTAATGATATTGCTTCATTACAACTATTATTCAAATACAGAAATCTAGAGTTATGTGGGTTCAGTCCTGATCTGATTTCAATAGACATTAATCTACAACAAGAATCTAAAAATATAACAAAAGGGTTTTGAACAATTACCGAATTACTGCCATTTAGCATTTCCTGGGAGACTTCTTCCCGATTACCAAGACAATAGAAATTGAGGTAATCTTTAGGATGTGCATCCTTAATTTGCATGGACTTGAGTTCTTGTGCAACAACATCATACATCATTTGCATTGTTTGACTCTGGAGACACAAGAGGGGTGAATCTAGGTAAAATACCTTTGGCATTTCTTTAATCAGAACTGAGAATTCCCCCTTCATATCCCGGTAACAGTAAAGGTGACGTCAAAACACTAAACCCTAAACCAAAAATGAAGTCGAATATAAAATAATTTCAACTATGCTCAACTAGTAGAAACCATAGCATATTTTCCCAAAGCACATTATGATAGTCATGCTTCCACAATTGGAAGGTCTTGCACCAGATATTACCTATGGACTAGCAATGAAACAATTTCTTTTCTTCAAGAATTCAAGGTAGGTATATATTGGAATAAACAGACAATTGCCTTGCTGCTTCATGTTTTTATCATAATGGATAAACATAAGATGCTTACAGCTAATGTGGTTCCGGAGCTAGATACTAACCTGCCAATATAGAATTTCCTGTACAGTAGCAGTTTTAGGATCACCCTCGGGCCACAAAGGAATAATGATATATACCGCGAATCTCTCCCTTGCTCTGATTTTAGAAGCAACTTTTAGCGCCAGTTCCATGGGGATCAGATTATCAGCCCCTGCTTATAGCATAAAAGAAAAAGACAATGAAGATCTAACAGAAATAAAATAATGGTAGTACGTTTTAGCTTCTTCGTTGCTACCAAAAGATTAGTAGAGACACAAGACAAATCCATGCACTAAATATTTGGGGGTAACATTCTTCTGGAACCAGAGAATTCCAAGATATGGAAACATATAACATCAATTATCAAGGAAAACACCATTGACCTGCATTTTTATATGATGGCCATGCGTATGAAGATCCAAGGAAATACTGATTTTCAATATATATGTAATGCTGGGCAGATCTGATAGCCTGTATATAAGCAGTTTGAATGCTTTTATCTATCACCAGATTTTTTGCACAGGTAAGATTCTGCAGAAAAGACATCCAACAATAAGAACCATGATATGACATTATACAAGTAAAAATGTAGCTACAAGTAGAAATCTGGAAATGGTGAAAATCCAGAATCTGGAAGAAAAGCTAATACATACAAGGTTTCCTCCATCTTAAAATCAGAAGAAAAGCAATTGCAAGGAGAAACCTGATTCTGAGCTTTTTTTATGTATTTGGGGAATCCTTTCAGTGATCCTGAGTCAATGGAGCGGAAAATCTGTGGAAGAAAAATAAAATCAAAATTGATATTTCCTTCCTGAGAAATGAAGAAAAAGATCAAAATAAACACGTTGTTATAAGCGGTGAAAATATACACAACCTGAACATCCCAGCTTTCGCGTTCATCTTTGCTATGAACATGTACTTTGGGATCATCTTCCGGAACTATTGTAGTACCATCGTCTGCCACACCTAACAGAGGACTTTGTATCCATGAGATTCGTTCTATCCTAACCAAAGAATCATCGTGCCAGTGAGATTTTCCTTTAAAAAGTAGACTGAACTCTTTCCACTTGGTTGATTTCCTCCACCGCTGCTCAAAGTTGATAAGAACATCATATGCAGCAGGCCCTTCGATTCTGCTGTGTAAATCATGCCATGGTTGCCTTGGAGCCTTGGTTCCAGTCTAAAAAGTAGAGACAGGTAGAGAGAAGAGGATAAAATAAAGAAGTGCCAAAATTAGAATTTAAAGTACCTGTAACTAAACCAGAATGTTTGATGATACAGTTGAAAATTAACTGAACAAAATGCCAGTCTCGTAAGGAAGCAGCTTGTTTCAAATTGCAACACAAGCATACATGCCCTAGTCCCAATCTAAATGGAGTGAGTTATATGAATCTCTCCCTCAACTTTTGCTGTCTAAGACCATGCTCCGTGTAAGTAATAGGCACAGTATCACTATTCTTCCATGTCACGCACTCACAGTGACACAGGCTGTAGGTAGTTGGAGATTTTAGTCACACTCAGAAGCAATGCTAAGAAATTACAGTCGTCATTTATGATGCTTAAGTTAGCATAATAAGCACTCATTCAACTGTAGTCAACATTTTTGACCAGGCTGAATTTTTTACAGGGAAAGTAGGATTATGAAAATCATCCTTGAAAACAGTGTCAAGATCACGAAGAAGTCGATGTTCAGGTGTATCATAGCGACCATCACAAAGATCGATACCTCCAACAAATGCAGTTATCTTTCGATTATTACCAGCTCCCTGTGTGTCAACAAGGACACATTTTTGATGATGCGTAAACATGGTTCCAACAACCTGCACAGAATAATTGCAGAAGCAACCTCAGCAAAATGTTTTGTTGAAGCACTTATCAATATCAAATAAAATTTGTTAAATCCATAAAATAGTTCGCTAAACTAATCTACTAAGCAAAACCAGACATGATAAGTAGAATATATGCACCCAGTTAAATCAGCAAAAACTATGCACTGGTTGAGATCCCATCAGAAGTCATCAACCTTCAAAGAACCCTATATAATGCTTTTGTCAAAGATCCATCAAACCTGAATATGCAGGAAATGAGTTCTTCAAGGTAAAGGATCTAAATTTCACATACATCGAATAAGAAAAATATATAATTCAATATCCTAGTGCAAAGCATTAAGGATATTCTAACTCATGACACATGGTTAGTAATACATCAATTAATTACTTGGGCACAAAGATAAAAAGGTTATTTGCCTAAAAAAATTAAATTCTTCATATTTTCTATTGATAGTAAGTTTCTGCTCTCCTTGAACTTAATAAGTTCCGCACCCTAAAATTTTATATGTTCGCCCCAACATAACATCCTGCATACAACAATAGTTCAAAATAAAGAAAGCCTTGCCTGTTGTTTGAAATACCCGAGCTTACTGCTAGCATAGCGTGGAGCCAGCACACAAGTAACAGACGAATGCTTAAAAAATTTCAATGTTTCTTCATCGTGCGTCTGCATCACTCCAACCTGCAACACCCATTAACACACACATTACGATCTCATAATTTCGAATAATCATTGGAGAAAACAACACAGAGTTTCAAAGGAACTTATTTTACCGTACGGATAGCAAATTTATCGCGCGAAGTTTTATCATCCCAAACCAACAACAGAACTCTAACTCCTTCTTCAGATTTATATTTAAGCAATTCACCGAGCGTTAAGTCCCCGCCTCGCGGCAATGGCCGAGTCGGCTCTCTAACAAGATTAATTTTATGAAAAACGGACCACCCAACAATGTAAACCATATGATGAGCCTCGGATATAGCATAACAAATATCTTCCCAACACATCCCTTGGCTATAAACTTTACCGTCGTCTAATTCTATTTTAGGCAACAAACCGTCCCGCACGTGAGCATCCTGGTAAAGGGTCACCTGGTTCCCGTTCCTTAAGGGGAAATACGTTTGCCTAACACCGGCTAGCTCTGGGTCGCTGGCGACGCCCTGCTTATACAACGGGTTTTTCTCGCATGGCGTGAATGTCATATCGAGGTAGATCGTTAGAAGCCGCCTCCGACGGATATTTGCAAGACTCACAGGTTACGCATCTCCGGAAATGATTGGCCATAAAATCCATGTTGGGCAACCTCCTGGCTTCAACAATGGTCAAATCTAAGTCACCGTGAAGATAAATCAACTCCTTCGACCCTTCCTCCGCCATTTTCACAGTACCAAAAACAACTGAGAAAGCTAAAAGAAAAACAAAAAACAATGTCAATGTTTGTGTTTGTGGTTTGGGCTCGGGGCAGTCGGCGCGGCGGTGGAATTTGGTGTTGAAAGGAGAACGGGAAACTGGGTTGTCGTCTAATGAATAAAACAGCGGGGAGGGACGTGG